GTTCATATTTTCTTTACTCTTTCCCCATTTGCCAAAATTATTGACTACATCAGGCTATTCATTTTTCTATGAACCTTGTTACATATACCCTTTGGAGTACATGTTGGTTTATCCGGCCCCATCCCTTCCCTCACATGGGAGTCGGGTCTCACACATTTATTGAATGTGGGACCGGACCCTCATATGAGGAAGGAGGTGACATCGGGTAAACCAAAGTATACCCCAGAGGGTACAAATAGCATAATTCTTTTTCTATTTTGGTTTAGTTGGTCGAACTTAGACTTATCACTCAAACCTGATTCAATCAGTTGGACTCCTAATTTAACTTTTTTATATCAAAATGTTGTGAATCTTATAATCCTTAGAAAATATATGATCTTATTTTCAAATGATACCTTTAAAGCTTCAATTTTTTTCTAATGCTAATTGGGAGCCACCATTTAATCATTTAAATAAAGAATACTGTAGTAAACCTCGTGATAAAAGTTAGAATTGCAAATAAACCAAGTCTGGTTTCCTTAAGTTCCCAGCTTGTGTATGTCTATATATATAGATGATTACAAGGTGTTTGAATTACAAAATCCAGCTCAGTGCATAAGTACGAGATTTCAAAGTTTAAATGTCTAACTAAANTAAGTACGAGAATTCAAAGTTTAAATGTCTAACTAAATGCATAACAGAAAATCAAAACAATAACAGAACAAGATCATTCAGTTGAATCTGATGTGGCAGAGTTCTCGGAGCATATATCTCTAACATCCCCCTTCAAGTTGATGGGGAGATCACGCAGCATCAACTTGTCACGCAATGTCATAAACCTGGATGAAGTAAGGCCTTTGGTAAAGATGTCCGAGGGTTGATCAGCAGTACATATATATCTGGCCTGAATGTCTTTATTGAAAATCTTTTCCCGAATGAAATGATAATCTACCTCAATATGTTTAGTACGAGCATGGAATACTGGATTGGAAGAGAGTGCTAAAGCACCAACATTGTCCACCCATAAGCAAGGAGCAGTTATTAGGGTTACATGAAGTTCTTTAAGAAGCATCCTAAGCCAGTAAAGTTCAGCAACTGTAAAGGCCATAGATCGGTATTCTGCTTCAATACTTGACCTGGCGACAACTGGTTGTTTCTTGGCAGACCAGGATATGAGACATGGGCCAAGAAATATACAATAGCCGGAAGTAGATTTCCTATCATCTGGAGACCCTGCCCAATCCGAGTCACAAAACCCATTTAGGTGAAGAGTGCCTTTGCTGAAGTTGAGTCCAAAGTGTAAGGTGCCCTTGATATACCTCAATACTCGCTTAGCTGCCACCAAGTGATCAGTTGTTGGACAATGGAGAAACTGGCAGAGTTGGTTAACACTAAACGAGAGATCTGGCCTGGTAAGTGTGAGATATTGCAAGGCTCCCACCACTGTTTTGTATTCAGTTGGATTAGAAAGTGGATCCCCTGAAAACTTTGAGAGTTTAACTCCTGATGTGCAGGGTGTAGGAGCTGGTTTAGCACCAGTCATTTTGGTGCGGTGTAATAAGTCAGTTGCATATTTGGTTTGGCTGAGATGAAGGCCTTCTGATGTGTGGCTGACTTGAATACCCAGAAAAAAAGATAGAGGCCCGAGATCTTTAACAGCAAAATCAGCACCAAGATTAGTGATAAGATGATCATGAAGAGGAGTGGCTTGCAACTATTATATCATCAACATAAATGAGTACAAAGATAGAAATGTTGCCATGATGAAATGTAAAAAGGGATGTGTCAACTGTTGAGCCAAGAAACCCGAGAGCTAGCAAAGCTTGGGATAATCTCAAGAACCAAGCTCTTGGAGCTTGTTTAAGTCCATAGATGGACTTGTGTAACCTGCACACATAATCAGTGAGATGAGGATCTTCAAATCCTTTTGGTTGCTCCATATACACCTCTTCTTCAAGAAAACCATGTAAGAAAGCATTGGATATATCAAGCTGTCTTATGAACCAGTTATGATGAACAGCTAGGGCCAACACTAATCAAATCGTAGCTGGTTTAATCACAGGACTAAAGGTCTCTGTAAAGTCCACACCATCAATTTGATCAAATCCCTTGGCCACTAGTCTGGCCTTGTATCTGTCAATGCTCCCATCTGAGTCTTGTTTAAGTTTAAACACCCATTTGTTTCGCACCACTTTCTTATGATCGGGTCGAGGACATAGAGTCCAGGTATGATTAGCCAGTAAAGCATTGTATTCGGCCTGCATAGCATCAATCCATTTCTAGTTCTTCATTGCTTCTTTGTAGGTATGTGGTTCAGGAGGTAATGTGGTGGCAGATAAGGCTTGAAGAGGGTTTTTGGTGGAGTAATAGAGATGATATTCTGGAAACAGTTTGGGTTTAGATGAGTTTGTCTTGGATCGAGTTATTATATGATGGGGTGAGGTTTCAGGTATGGGAATGATAGGGGATTGATCAGAGGTAGGAGAGACTGTTGGTAAATCTGTAGGTGATGAGACAGATGGAGAAGCAGGCATGGGTTCATCAATAAATAAGAGTGGACTGGAATTAGAAGGACCAGATCAGTTGAGTCTGGTATGGGAGAGACATTATTTGGAGAAAGTGATGTGGACAATTCAGGAGATACAGTAGTAATAAATGAAGGAATTGCAAAAGATGGTAAAGATTGAGAGATGGAACCTGAGTTTGCTGGACGATCAGAAGACTGCAAATTGTCCTTCAAGGATGTAGATGTAGCAGCTTGTACCTGTGTAGCAGAGGCAGGGAAACTCAACTCATCAAAGATTACATGTCTAGAGATGTATACTTTCTGTGTTTTTAAGTCCAAACAGCGATAACCTTTCTGATTTATGCTATACCCGAGAAAGACACACTTAGTACTTCTAAAGGCTAATTTGTGAGGAGTGTAAGGTCTGAGCAATGGGTAGCAGGTGCAGCCAAATGTCCTTAGGAAGGAGTAATCTGGTGGTTTGCTAAACAAAGTGAAAAAGGGGGACTGACTGTTTAGAACCGGTGTGGGGAGCCTATTGATGACATAGATGGCTGTTAGAAAGGCATAAACCCAATAGCAAGAAGGAAGGTGAGATTGAGCTAGGAGAGAGAGGCCAGTTTCAGTAATATGCCTGTGTTTTCTCTCGAAAATTCCATTTTGCTCAGATGTATGGGGACAAGTGAGCTTATGGAGGATTCCATTGTTAGAGAGAAAGGTTTGGAAGGCAGTGGACATGTATTCCCCACCATTGTCAGTGAGAAGTTGTTTGATTGATTGAGAGAATTGATTTTCAACTAATTGTTTAAACTTGATAAAGCAAGAAAACACATCAGATTTATGCTTTAAAGGAAACAACCATGTGAATCTGGAATAGTCATCAATAAAAAGGACATAAAGCTTACAACCACTGACTGAAGAGACTGGAGAGATCCACACATCAGAGTGTATTAGCTCTAGAGGATGTGTGGACCGATTATTGGACTCAGGAAAGGTAATTTTGTGACTCTTAGTAACTCGATCCAAGACAAACTCATCTAAACCCAAACTGTTTCCAGAATATCATCTCTATTACTCCACCAAACACCCTCTTCAAGCCTTATCTACCACCACATTACCTCCTGAACCACATACCTACAAAGAAGCAATGAAGAACCAGAAATGGATTGATGCTATGCAGGCCGAATACAATGCTTTACTGGCTAATCATACCTGGACTCTATGTCCTCGACCTGATCATAAGAAAGTGGTGCGAAACAAATGGGTGTTTAAACTTAAACAAAACTCAGATGGGAGCATTGACAGATATTATCAGAGTGTATTAGCTCTAGAGGATGTGGGGACCGATTATTGGACTCAGGAAAGGGAATTTTGTGACTCTTAGCAACTTGACAAGACTCGCAAACATTATTTTGTTTTATAGGACCCAAAATAGGAAGCATAGACTCTCTAACTACTCTAGACACTATA